CCCTTATTCCCCTTTGGTTTTGATGTACAGATAGCCGCATGCTGAAGTTACCCATGCATAGCTTAGAGCAGGGGTGTTCAACTCTTACCCTAGAAGGGCCAAAGCCTAATGGTTTTCTGTTCTACCTGATAATGAATTGCACACACCTAGTGTCCCAGGTCTAAATCAGTCCTTGATTAGAGGGGAACGATGAAAAAATGCAGTGGAACTGGCTTTGAAAGAGAGTTGAGTTTGAAGGGCTTAGAGTTTCTTTACTGTAATTGCTCTCCCTCCCTGTCTCTCTCTCTCTCTCTCATGTGATCATTTTTAAGGTCAGAGTGGGTTGATGTTAGCTGGTTTGTCAACATGCTTTAATTTAATTTCGATGGCCTTCACACAGGTGTGATGGAGGTCCATGTCACGTCCCTACACTTTCTGCCTGTTCATGAGTGACTGTAACGAACCCCGTGGCTTTACGCGTCTAGGATGGATGGACAAGAGACCCGTAACATAATTCATGCAAATTAGAATCGTGACATGGAAACAGTGAGAACAAAAACTACACGACAACCATAAACTACCGTCAAACATAAAATGTTTATTTTGAACACACGGTAAAGGTTTGGGAAAAAGGGCTGAGCAGGACCCAAGAAAGGAAACAATAGTGTAAAAAAAACTAAAACTGATCTTGCCTGCCTCAGAACTGCTAAGCTACTGCTAATCATACATAAATTACAGTGGGTGGTGCCGCTCAGGTCTAACTAGTGTTTTTAGACAGTTTTTCTTTCCTACGGGTAATGTATGCCCAAGGGCACTTGCTTAAATCCCCCTTTTCCCAGAAACACACAACAAAGTTACCAAACAGAGTAACCAGCAAATGAGTGAGTACACAAAACACAGGACACCATTTACATTTACGTCATTTACGCAGACGCTCTTATCCAGAGCGACTTACAAATAAGTGCATTCATCTTATAGCCAGTGGGATCACCACTTTACATTTTTTTTTTTTTTTTTTTTGGGTTGGGGTTGGGGTTTGGGTTGGGGTAAAGGGGGTGGGTAGAAGGATTACTTTATCCGATCCCAGGTATTCCTTAAAGAGGTGGGGTTTCAAATGTCTCCGGAAGGTGATGAGTGACTCCGCTGTCCTGGTGTCGTGAGGGAGCTGTTCCACCATTGGGGTGGCCAGAGCAGCGAACAGTTTTGACTGTTTCCATACTCACATACGGAAAATAGTCCTCTCTATAAACACAACTGACTGGCTTTTAAACAAGTGGGAGGTGTAAGTGGGAAACCAGAAACAGGTGGTTTGCAATACAGGGGAAATGCCCACTGTAGGCCCACCTCAGCAATCAGCAGCCCCAACGGATTTTGGGAAAATCAATCGGGGGAACTTTAAAGGACCCCTGTTTTGGGGAAAAAGGGAAGGGGGAAAAAAAACAAAAAAAGGGACACGGGGATACCTTTTAAGCCTTTCCCACTCCCCCCCTTAAAAGAGAAAACCCACAAGGTTTGCGACAAAAGTACCATCACAACCCCCAAAAATTTTCAAAGTTTAAAAACCGCCCCCTAAAGGGATAAAAAAAAAAAACAGTTTTTTAAAAACAGAGACAAAAAGATCTGCCAAAAAATTACCCAAACCCCTTATTGTGGCGGATCCCCAAAATTAAAAAATTTTGCACTACAAGGCCCAAATTGAAAAAAGGCTTTTGGTTTCGGGTTTGTACATCCGGTGGAGAAAAAAAAAGGGGGGTTTTTGGTTTCGGATACATTTTTCACGGGGAATTCCCAGGGAAACCAACATAAACTTAAATTTACTGAGGGGCTAAAACAAAGCTAGAGCTTTTTTTCAATGGTGGAATATTTTGGGTTGGGAATTTTGTTAAATTTCCCGTAAAAATAAAAAGAAGGTTGGTCCACCCCAAACTCTGGTCCTGCTCCCAGTAGAAACAGCACCAGCCCTCGGGCACTTACTACCCCCATTTTTTAAAGGGTTTTCTTTTAAAAATC